CACTCAGTAACAATTCTGTCTGTCCCTGAGTAACAATTCTGTGGCCCTAATAACGTTTCTGTGGCCCTAAGTAACAATTCTCTGGCACTGAGTAACAATTCTGTCTGTCCCTGATTATGAATTCTGTGGCCCTAACTAGCGTTTCTTTTGTCCCTAAATAACGATTCTGTGGCCCTCATTAACAGTCTGTGTCCCTGAGTAATGGTTCTCTGTCCACTAAGTAACTTTTTCTCTGTCCCCCAATTATCGTTTCTGTGGCCCTAACACTGTCCCTGTCCCTAGTACAGAGCGGTCTGCCTCTGTTCAATAACTGCAGGCAAATGAAGAATTCCAAAATGGCCGCTATTTATAGCTCGACCATTACACAGTGCTGGCTGGCTGGCTGCTGATAGGCTGATGCGATCACATGTTAGTTGAGGCATGCATTATGGGTCAGCCCGCCTTGTCTGCGCGCCTTCCCAGACATCCCCGCTCTGTCGCCGCACATGTCAGCCGCCATTTTCTGAAAAATTTCGATTCGCGCGTCACGAATTAGGCTATTTTTTCGGATTCGGCACGAATCGAAATTTTTCAGATATTCGACTCGAATTCCACTTCGGATACTTCGATTCGCTCATCTCTAGTTTTAAGCATGATAAAATGTAAAAGGGGGATAATTAGAAAACAGAGGACGATAGGAACAGAGGTAAAAAGGGGAGGGGTAGATGAAGACCCCGTTACAAAAACAACTCTCCCAACCTAGGATGTTCCAACGGATACCAAAAATGGGTGAACGTTATACAGTTAGTAAGGAATAATGTATTTATTTTGTAAAGAATGGATTTTCCATGGTATTCAGTTTTTTCTTGGAATCTTTTAGGCTGCTTTCACAATGAACGAATTTCTCTTCTGCTTTTGCATTAAAAAAAAGCAGAAGAAAAAAGGGTGACCATTTGTTCCTATGGAACTATTCACACTGATCCATTGTGGGTCCGGTGCATTTTTCAAAGTCCTGCTTTCTTCGTTTTTGGTGCGGTAAAAAAAAATGCACCCAAAACACACATCCCCATTGAAATCAATGAAAAACATAGCGAAAACACATCCAAAATATGGTGCATTTTTGGTGCAGTTTGAGTCACATGTCATGTTACAAATGCATCGGAAACGCAGTAAAAACGTGGATCAGTGTGAAATTAGTTTTAATGTAGCTGCCAACTTCTCTTTTATTAGATATCAGACTATTTTGTTTTGACCTATGCTATAGCTCAGGGGTGTCAAACTGGTGGCCCTCCAGCTGTTGCAAAACTACAAGTCCCATCATTCCTTTGCCTTTGGGAGTCGTGCTTGTAACTGTCAATCTTGCAATGCCTCATGGGACTTGTACTTAGGCAACAGCTGGGGGACCACCAGTTTGACACCTGTGCTGGACTGGCTACATAGAAAACATGCTCTGGCCAGTGTCGTTTGGCCACTGTGAAAATAAATGTTAGTAGTTTCATGTCATACAGGCTTCCTATTGCAGATTAAGGCGAGGCTTATGTACAATGGATATAAAAAGTCTACACACCCCTGTTAAAAAGGGTTCTGTGATGTAAATAAATGAGACAAAGATAAATCATTTCAGAACTTTTTCCACCTTTCATATGACCTGTAAAACTGTATAACTTAGTTGAACAACAAAACTGAAATATTTTAGGTGGAGGGAAGTAAAAAACTAAAATAGTATTGTTGCATAAGTGTGCACACCCTCTTATAACTGGGGATGTAGCTGTGTTCAGAATTATTATTATTATACAGTATTTCATAAAGCGCCAATAGTTTGCTCAGCGCTGTACATTACAAAGGGGGACAGAACATGCGACAGTAGAAAACAATACAATGTGATACAGGAGGGGATCGAGGGCCCTGCTCTTTCGAGCTTACAATCTAGGAGGGAGGGGATGGTGGCATAGGAGGAGATAGCTGTGGGGGATGGGGTGGTAGGAAGAGTGGAGGAGGTTGGCAAGTTAGCAGGGGGTGGGGTAGGCTTCCCTGAAGAGGTGGGTTTTCAGGGTGCGCCTAAAGGAGAGGAGAGTAGGTGATAATCTGATGGGTTGGGGCAGGGAGTTCCAGAGGATGGGTGACACCCTGGAGAAGTCCTGGAGGCGGGCATGGGAGGAGGAGACCAGGGAACTAGAGAGAAGGAGGTCTTGTGAGGAGCGGAGTGTGCATGTTGGGTGGTACTTGGATATTTGGTCAGTGATGTAGTTTGGGGCAGTATGGTGGTCAGCTTTGTACATCAGTGTTAGGATTTTGAATTTGATCCATTGCGCAATCGGAAGCCAGTGGAGGGATTGACAGAGGGGATGGCGGAAATGGATGTTTATGGATTCTACAACTTAAATTCAGAGAAGCATGAGAATATCTTGTAAGAACTATTGGAATTTGAAAGTGAGAAACTGTTTTTTGTTTCATTAGGGCACCTGCATTTATGTTTCTTGGTTGGTTGCCATATTCTGAACATTTACAGACCTAACCTGTCTTCATAAAGTACTTTGCAAGGGCCTCAAGTTCCTGAATGATGCCAGTCATTAAACTAGAGGCTTGACACATTAGGTCACGTTTTGGTTTCCAAAAGCAAATGTTAACAATTAAAATACTTAAAGCTATGACATTATTATTTGCTCACAGCAGTTAGTGTCTACCCCTGCTCTGTACTGTGATGTCTGTGCATGTACTATACCAGGAAAAGGCATGAGATGATGGCAATTATTACACCCACATATCTATACCAGACATACTGTAGAACACATTATAAAAATGTAGTTTATTTATATATTTTGTATTATTCTTCTCAACAAAAATATATGGTCTATATGAATCAGTTGCAGATTATAATAGCAGAATAAACTGCTGCCCATTGCTCCAATGTCCAGTGGGGCCCATAGGAAAAAAGTAAAAAAAAAAAGTACTGTAGCTTTTAAGTCTGTACTCATGTTTTCATCAGCTTCAGCATTGCTCAAAGTGAAGGTCTCTTTAAGCCCTTATGCACACTGGACGTTTTTACAGCAGCTGTTTTTGGCTTTTGACGTTTTTTTCTACAGCCAGTAAACCCCCCAGCATGTTATCCTATGCGTCCATTTACACATAGACTGTAATCAGCGTTTTTTGGCTGGCAAAAAAAATCCAGGACTACTGGGTTTCTAGAGGAGTTTTTTTTAGCTGGAAAACGCGTAAAACGCTGTAAACCGGCGTTTTTGGACTTTTTTTTTTACCCCTCCCCAAATTTATTGTTGGTAAAAAAAAACCTAAACACAAACGTGGAAAAACACGGGAAAACGCCACTAAATATGGGAAAACGCTGCTACACGCTAATGCAAAAATGCTACAAAAAGCTGCCGTGACTTTACACAGCTAACGTTACCAGCGTTATCAAAATGTCCCGTGTGCATGAGGACTTAAGATCGGGGTGGACTTTGCAGCTGCACAAGACCCCCTTATTACCTAGGAATATATTTATTCTAGCTATGGGTCAGATAAGTGCTGGGCTCCTCTCCTATTATCAGGTAGATGTGTACATGGCTCTTTTCTATCTAAGCCTGGGTTCACACTGATGCGGTGCAGAATTCGCATCAGTTTCTGTGCGAATTCGCACTGCATCATAATCGCACCCCATTCATGTAACCCCTGCAGGTATGCATGTTAAGTTAACAAACCCCCCCGAAATCAGTTCGCAAATTGTGCTGTGCGATATGCAAAATCAAATCGCATAGGTGTGACTACCCATGCAATCCAATTCTGGTGCGGACCCAAAAAAAGGGTCCTGCACCTTCTTGGTGCAGATGCGGTGCGATCTGAGCCATACAAAATGTATGACTCAAACTGCACTGCACAGAATTGTATTTCACCAGTAATGAATGGAGTGCCAAAAACGGGCCTTGCACAGAGGACCTTTGAGATTGAAACTGGTACTACACAATGGGGCTGATTTACTAAAACTGGAGGGTCAAAAGTGGGCACAAACCTATGGGACCACTTTCGTGGGATTGCGGCCGACCCCATCCCTCCCCTCTCGAATGGGTGTACTTGAAGTTTTTTGAAGGGTGGGTTTGTCATGTGTGGGGAAAATTTGGTGTTGGACCCTTTAAAAATTATGCTAAACAGAATTCCAGGAATCCAATTCGGAGTCAAGGAAGTTTCTGGAGCATTGGTGGGCAGGATATAAGGGGCACCTGGATCATTTCGGATCAATGGCCAGCCTAAAAGCTGAAGGGCCCTAACCAATCCCCCCCCCCCCCCCCCCGCCGCGCGCACTTTGTGTGGTTCTAGGGGGATGTTTCAGTGTTAGATGTCGTATGTGATGGCTCGAGTTCTAACTACTGAGCAAGAAGAGGGTGGTCTATTATATTTTGATATTTTGCATATTGAATCTCATTAACGGTTATTGATATATGTACATGGTTTATTGTGTAACACCAATAAAGTGCCGCGGCCATTTTCTCGCCACGATCTGCTTAATTGTTTCTTTTGTTTAACCACTAGCCTACAGGGTTACTTATACCCCCTTCCTGCCCAGGCCAATTTTCAGCTTTCAGCGCTGTCACACTTTGAATGACAATTGTGCTGTCATGCAACACTGTTTTTGAGACAGATAGAGCTTTATTTTGGTGGTATTTAATCACCTCTGGGTTTTTATTTTTTGGTAAAAAAAAAAACAAAAACAACTGAAAATTTTTGAAAAAAAAAAAAAGTTTTTTCTTAATTTTTGTTATAAAATGTTGTAAATAAGTGATTTTTCTCCTTCACTGATGTGCGCTAATGAGGCTATAGTGATGGGCACTGATAGGCTGTACTGATGGGCACTGATAGGTGGCACTGATGGGCACTGATGAGGAGGCACTAGTAGGTGGCACTGATGGGCACTGAAAGGCAGCACTCATATATGGCACTGATAGGTGGTACTGATAGGCAGCACTGACTGGCACTGTTAGGTGGCACTGATTGGCACTGTTAGGTGGCACTGACACACACCGATATGCAGCACTGACTGGCACTGATAGGAGGTACTGACTGGCACTGATAGGCAGCACTAATAGGTGACACTGACTGGCATTGATAGGTGGCACTGAAAGGCAGCTCAGATGGGCACTGATATTTGGCATTGATGTGCACTGGTAGGCACTGCTATGTGGCATTGATGTTTCACTGATGGGCACTGGTAGGTGGCATTGATGAGCACTGACAGCTGGCATTGATGGACACTGACAGGTGGCACTGCTGGGTGGGGCTACATCAGTGCCCTGATGATCAGTGTAAATGTCCCCTCTGAGGAATGCCGATTACCAGCTCTTCTCTCAAGCTGTTAGCTTGTGAGGAGAGAAATGCCAATAACCCGCATTGTCTTGTTTACATGTGATCACAGCTGATCACATGACCAAGCCAACGTCTTCGGCTCATTCCATTGATCGGTGATCCTCTGTGTCCGAGGGACACAGCACACCACCGATCACCCCGCTGTGCACCCCCGGAGCAGCGCACGCACTGTTAGAGTGGGAGGACGTCATATGACGTCCTCCCAGAACGAGAGAACCACCTTGCGCCCGTCAATTCCTTATATGGCAGTCGGGAGGCGGTTAATTGGTCGTATTTGGGGAATGTTCTGATTGTGGAGGGGTGCTGTTTGCAATCCCGACCAATCAGCTTCCAGGTTTTATTGTTAAAGCTTAATTGAACAAGGCAAAGTTGGAAGCTGATTGGCTATTATGCACAGCTGCATTAGATTTTGCACTCTCCAGTATTATTAAACCAACCCCAATATGTATCTGCACCTTCTATGTGCAATCTTCTTGTTTCATAATATCTGCCATCTGTAATCTCGAGCATTCTGCGGTGTAGATCCAATTAAAAATTCAAACAGCTTTCCAGATCATGCAGAAATGGTTTATAAACTGTTGTCAGAAATAAAGCACAAATGTCTGAGTACACTGATCCTTATGTATACAATCCAACTGGCAGGGAGCCCATGATGTGAGACCGTTGCTGGCCCACAGTACAGCTGTCCTACAGCTGATCCTAATCTAGCAGAAATCAAAGTATTGCAAATTTATACCAGCATCAAGTGTCATTTAACAGTTCATTGATATATAGCTCAGCTAGCTACAATTGGCCGTTTCCAGTTTTTATCAGATGAATTCAGTTTTATACAATCAATACCAGAAGTGTTGGTCCAGACACAACTATTGTGTCTCATACCCTGTACACACTATAAGAAAATTGTACAAAAATTTTTCGTACGAGGACCAGGGACTGAAAACTCATGGGGCCCCTGTGTCCTTGCCCAAACTCAAAAAAGCCTATGAAAAAGGTACCAGGGGCATCTCATGGGGCCCCCTAAAAATAAATAAATAAATAAAAAAAATTAATAAAAATAATATTAAAAAAAATATAAAATTATGATACCATTATCATTCTTCTTCTTTATTTTTCTCATTGATACACTTATTTTCAATATATTTTTTTTTCTCTTGTCTGTTTTGATTGACTGTTCCTTGATTGGGTGGCCAGTTGCGTGTGTGGGGAAGGGAGGTGTGTTCATTTCTTTACACCATTCATTGGCCTACTTAAGTTGAACTAGCAGGTCTACATTTTAGCTCTGAGGAAGGGGGTTCCTCTCCCGAAACGCGTTAGCCTATCCCTTACAAGGTCTTTGAATCCATTGGACTGTCCTTACGGATCACCTGTTCTGTTTTTATCCCTTTTGGTTGTGAGTATTTATCTATAATTTTTCAATAAATACGTGGTGTACCACGTTAATGTACGATGGGAGTGCGCCCTTGTTGGTTTTTGTTCACCATACTCTGAGGCTAGGTTCACACTTGTGCGGTACAGTATATCTCATGTGATTCGCACAGGAACAGCACCACATCCCTGTGCAAATCACATGCAAATTGTGTGCGGTGCCATTGGAGCCACACACTTTGGTATGCAGGATCCTTTTTTTGGTTCACAGTAGAATCGGATCGCATGAGTATTCACACCTATGCGATCTGATTCTGCACATCGTACCACATTTTGCGGACCGATTTTGGGGTGCTGTTAACATAACATACACACCCGCGTCAGTTCGCATGAATGGGGTGCGGAATTCGCACAGAAAACGCTGTGAATTCCGCACCGCATCAGTGTGAACCAGGGCTTAATGTAGGTGGCTTTTTAAATGAAAAGATTAGATTAGCTTTGCCATATTACCCCAGGTTCACACCTAAGCTTTTCCGCAGCTTTTTGCAGAAACGCAGTACAGTCCATTTAACATAATTTCCTATGGGACCCATTGACATCTCTGATTTCACCTGGTGCATTTTTTGGAAAGGGTCAGGTCATTTTTTAAAACGCAAAAAATTGCGTTTTTGGTTCTTTAGACCTCAATGGAAATGCTGTAGAAAAGCATGTAGTGCCTTTTTGCTGTGTTTTGCATTTTAATCTGCCAAGCAACAAGACAAAAAATGCAAAATACAGCAAAAACACGTGTGGAAAATAGCAAAAACGCACCACAAATAGCACCATAGAAATAGATAGAATGAAAACTTCATAGGTGTGAACTTAGCCTAAGGCTCTGTTCACACCTATGTAGTTTGCTTTTTGAGCGTTTTGCATTGCTTTTTGCAGTTCATTTTACGGTTTTCTACACACGTTTTTTTGATGTGTTTTTGATGTGTTTTTTACCGCATTTTGCGTTTTGTTCAGCTTTTTTTTTAACTGCAATTTTTTTTGTTGCTGAGCAGAATATATAAATATAAAACCGTGACAAAAACGCACTACCATGCATTTCAGCAGATTCTCCATTGAAATCTACTGTAGCCAAAACACAGAAGCTCAAAAATGCATAGATGTGAACATGTTCCATAGGAAACCATGTTAAATGGACTGTAGCGCGTTTCTGCAAAAAGCACAAAAAAAATGCACTGGTGTGAATGGAGCCTAAGGCTGGCCATACATTATACAATTTTCTTTAGAAAATTGCTTTAGATTTACCAAAAACCATATAATATGAGGTCAAACCTGAACACTTTCAACTGTATCCAATTAGGCGGGACCTTTCACTACATAGTGAAAGGTAAATCTAAAGGAAATTGGTCGGAAATTGAACAGAAAATTGTATAGTGTATGGCCAGCCTAAGTCTAGGTTCACACCTATGCAGGTTGTGTTTGAGCTGTTTCGGCATTGCATTTTGTTTTGTGTTTTTGCACCTGCTTTTTTTGCCGCGTTTTAAGGTTTTTTTTTTTTTATTTTTTTTAAATTTTTCTTGTTGCTAGGCAGATTTAAACGCAAAACGCATCAAAAAATCAGCAAAAACGCAATACATGCTTTTCTGCAATGTTTCCTTTGAAGTCTATAGAACCAAAAACACTGCTTTTTGCATTCAAAAAAAGTCCCTGACCCTTTCCAAAAATGCAGCAACTCAAAAATGCATAGATGTGAACATGTTACATAGGACACTATGTTAAATGGACTGTAGTGCGTTTCTGCAAAAAGCCCTAAAAACGCACTGGTGTGAACGGAGCCAAATGCAGACCATAGACGAGCTGTTTATTGGCCGAATTTTCGGCCGATAAAAGAAAAATTGGTCTGCCCCATTGCTGATGCTGCCACCAATGTCCACGAGAAAAAATGGCCATTTTTCGTGGATTTTCCAGCATGACCGCTAAAAATAAATGTGAAGATCTGCGAAAAACAGCCGACGGGCTGGCCCCACTAACGGCGTGAATATCGGCCGATTTTTTTTGTGCGGACGAAAATTCGGCCGATAAATGACCCGTCTATGGCCTGCATAAGGCTGGCCATACACTATACAATTTTCTTGAGATTTTTGGTTTAGATTTACCAAAAACCATATAATAGGAGGTCAAACCTAAGGCTGGCCATACACTATACAATTTTCTTGAGATTTTTGGTTTAGATTTACCAAAAACCATATAATATGAGGTCAAACCTAACAACACTTTCAATTGTATTCAATTAGGCAGGCTCTTGCACTACATAGTTGAAGGTAAATCTAAAGGAAATTGGGCAGAAATTGTACAGAAAATTGTATAGTGTATGGCCAGCCTAAGTCTAGGTTCACTGGATACAAATGGAGAAACAGAAAAAGGGCGCACCGACCTAGTGCATTATCGTTTAAAATAATTTATTAAAGAAACAAAAATAGGTATCATACTCACAATGGACATAATAACACAGGCATGTCAAACTAAACAAGGTGTATGATCCAAACAACATCTGAGTCCATACGATGGAACCCTGGATGACCAACTGGCTAACGCGTTTCGAGGACACAACCTCTTCCTCCGTTTGGCCCTGAGGAAGAGGTTGTGTCCTCGAAACGCGTTAGACAGTTGGTCATCCAGGGTTCCATTGTATGGACTCAGATGTTGTTTGGATCATACACCTTGTTCAGTTTGACATGCCTGTGTTATTATGTCCATTGTGAGTATGATACCTATTTTTTGTTTCTTTAATAAATTATTTTAACCGATAATGCACTAGGTCGGTGCGCGCCTTTTTCTGTTTCTCCATTTGTATCCAGTGTATTCGGACTACCCCGGTCTGTTTGAGGGCAGCAAGCAGTGCATATTCCAGAAAATTCCAGAACATTCCTATTGGGTCTACTGAGTCCTTTCCTAGCGCAGAAGTAAAGTGTTTGTTAAGTCTAGGTTCACACCTATGCAGGTTGTGTTTGAGCCATTTCTGCATTGAGTTTTGCACCTGCATTTTTGCCGTGCTTTTGCTGCGTTTTGGGTTTTTTTTTTTTTTACGTTTTGTTGTTGCTAGGCAGATTTCAAACGCAAAATGCATCAAAAATGCATTTAAAACGCAAAATGCATCAAAAACGCAATACATGCTTTTCTGCAATGTTTCCTTTGAAGCCTATAAAACCAAAATCGCAGTTTTTTGCATTCAAAAGTCCCTGACCGTTTCAAAAAATGCACCGGATGAAAATGTGTAGAAAATGCACGCAAAACACTGCAGAAAACGCATAGGTGTGAACCTAGGGTCAAAGGCATTTTCCAAGTGTGACAAAACCTCATGAAAAAATAGTTCCCTTTTAACTCTATTTTATCTCCTCACATCTCCGAAATGGATATTTTTAAACTACATTTTTAAAAAGTCCTGCTTGCTGAATCATTGGTGCGCTTTTTTAAAAAAATGCGCCAAAAACACATTTTCCATTATAATCAATGGAAAAGCATAAAAAACGCACCAAAAGTTTTTTTTTTTTCTTTCCAAAAATACTTTATTAAATATAAGAAGAAACAAAATAGCAGATAGAGCATATACAGCTATAGATCACAGTCATGACATAAACATGAACATGTTGCCATCCCGTTTCGCAGACGGGACATATTATAAACAGTAATACAAGTCAAAATGGGGAAGAACATTACGTCAGACATATAATGTAGACCAGTGGATATGCAGAGGAAAGAGGCTCTA